ATCCTTCTAGCCATGACCCTGGGATACATAAGCATCAGCACACTCACAGAAGGCTAGGTTCTGAAGAAGCCATCTGTGCTCTGAAGACGAGAGACCTGATCAGGGACATCCATGATGTAGTTTTGGGAAACTAGACAGATTGCTCTAGAAGATGGACAGGGAAAGATGGGGTGTGCCTAGGAGTACAGGGGCACAGGGATAAGGTCTAGACTAGGTACTCAGAGATGTCATAGTAGCATGAAGTTAGAGATATCTGGTTGAGAATGGGAATGCTAGAGCACTGTAGTGGGTGATTGGATTGAAAAGCCATGCTATGAATTATGGGGCTACTTAGGAGTAGAGTTCAGGTTCGAGAAAGCTGGACAAGCCTTGGCAGGTGTTCTTAGTGATTAGAGCATCTGCCTGCACACTGAAGGGTCTTGGGTTTGATTCCTAGTCAATAGCATGTACCTGGGTTGCAGGTTGGATCCCTGGCCCCAGTCAGAGCATGTGGAGGAGGCAACCAATTAATGTGTCTTTCTCATATTGTTCTCTCTCTCTCTCTTTTCCTCCCTCTCTCCCTCCCTCTTTCCCTTTCATTCTCTCTAAAAATCAATGGGGAAAAATATCACCTGATGAGAATTAACAAACAAAAACAAAATGCTGGGCAAGATTTGGGAAACTGGAGCCTCTTGGACATGGTTGGTATCTCTACAGCCTTTCCTATCATTCTCTGAAACCTCAGTTCCCCCTTTTTATTCTTGCAACCTTCTCAGATTACCCTTCAGCTCATTTATACCTCAACTAACACTTCTAGATGAATTTTTCTGACTCCATCACCAACAATTTTTGACTCCAAACCCCAATATTTAGAACACTTCTGTGCCATGTTTTGTTTAAGCAGAACAACCACTCAACAAAATAATTCCCACTGTCAAATTCAGTCTCTGTGTTTGGTAAGAGGAAGCTGTGGGTTCAAAGGGTTTATAATGGTGTTGTCAGGAGAGAGTAACAGCAGAAGAGTGAGAGAGCGACTGGGAAGGATATAAGGGAAGGGAAATTGGGATCTCTAAGGCAGTTCACAAAGATAAGAAGGTATAGAAGTTCAAAGGAGTGAGAAAGGACATCCACAAATCCAATGGGATATACTGAGCAGAGACACAGTTTTCCAGCAGATCAAATAGAATTAAGTAGTACTAGCATGGCTTTGGGAAATTGTGCACAGGAACTAGGCCAAGGGGGGAGGGGGAGGGGTCTGCTGTAGTTTTGTTTTTGTATATTAAATTATTTTACCCAGAGCCAGCCTCAGATTTCTGTTTTCTCTGCTTACTTTTAGAAATGCTTGTTGAACTGTAGTGAAATTTTTAAAATATTTTATTGATTTTCTTTCAGAGAGGAAGGGAGAAGGATAGAGAGCCAGAAACATCGATGAGAGAGAAACATTGATCAGTTGCCTCCTGCACAACCCCCCACTGGGGATGTGCCCGCAGCCAAGGTACATGTCCCTGACCAGAATCGAAACTGGGACCCTTCAGAACGCAAGCCAACACTCTATCCATTGAGCCAAACTGGTTTTGGCTATAGTGAATTTTTTATGGCAATAGTGAGGTTTGCTGTGTGCCCTATATGATTGAGATGCTGCCCCATCTAGGCCTGGAAGAAAGATCCTGAGTAATGATCCCTCTCTCTGACTGTGACTGTGCACCTGAACTAGTTTGCTGGTTGCCCTCTCACAGGATGTGGGAAGAAGTGAAAGGAGGACACTTTACAGCAACCACCCTCCCCCCATCACCTGTTCCTGCTTTGGGACCATGTAGTCCTGTGTTAGAATAGGGAGGAAGTGGTCTTATAAATGGCCACCATCCTGTTGTCTAGACATTAAGGCAGAGATACGGTCTCAGGGACGCTTCAGGAGCTGCAGAAGGCTGCGCTTGGATTTCCTGTTAGAGGTGGAGTCTTGTTTTTGCATAAATAGTAGGATCCTCCAGCAGAAACCCCACTCATATAGTTTGCTAGCCAGCTGAATTCAGCATTAAGTGAATTCATCCTCAATCCCTTCCAAAAGGATAGTTATTTATTTAGCAACCGGAATATCAGCGTGATTAATAGTACTATAGCGTCAGTTTCCAGGTGAAAGCCTTTCAATCTCATTAGTACCAGTTCACCCTTTATCCCCGACATATAAATAGCTTATGACTAACAGCTGGTGTTTGCAGGACATTGTCCAGGGTCAGGGGACATTGTGATCTTATAATGGAGACATCAACTGAGTGAAGCCCATGGCCTTGACATAATCGCTGTAGAATGATAAGCAGCCCATGGCAGTCAGAATAACAACTGAAACAGAATCCAGTGCTTGTAGACATTGTTATGTCACCTGGAGAGTTCTACCCCAATGATAGATTTTTGTACTGGAACTGGCTAAGAAGTCATGTGCTTTTAGCAGTGTGGCTCAAATAAAAGATATCTGAGTTATTTTTAATTTTTTTAATTTTATTTTAAAAAATATATATTTTATTGATTTTTTTACAGTGAGGAAGGAAGAGGGATAGAGAGCTAGAAACATCGATGAGAGAGAAACATCGACCAGCCATCTCCTGCACGCCCCCTACTGGGGATATGCCCACAACCAATGTACATGCCCTTGACGGGAATCGAACCTGGGACATTTCAGTCTGTAGGCTGATGCTCTATCCACTGAGCCAAACCGGTTTCGGCTATTTTTAAAATATATATATTTATATTGATTCCAAAGAGAGGAAAGGAGAGGGAGAGATAGAAACATGATGAGAAAGAATCATTGATCAGCTGCCTCCTGAACACCCCACATTGGGGATCAAGCCTGCAACCTGGGCATGTGCTCTGACCTTGAACTGAACTGTGACCTCCTGGTTCATAGGTTGATACTCAACCACTAAGCCACGCTGGCCAGGCTGAATAATTTTTAAGAAATGCTGCAGTAATGCTGTCATAGCTTGGGTATTCCAGGAAATAGACTGAGACACTGAGATTTGCATACTGATGGTTTATTGGTGAGTGCTTCTGGGAACATCTATGAGGTGTAAGGGAAGCAGGATTGGGCAGAGGGAGAAATGGAGGCAAGAGGTCCAGGTCTTTATCCCCATAGCCATTCCCATCAACCAGCTAGGAGCCCTTAGCAACCAACACTTCAGTAGTCAGGGAACAAGTGCCGTGATCCTGAAGTGTGAGATCTCAGCAGGGGCACGTCACCTTTTCTGCTACAATTGTCAACTAGTACTTTTACTTCCATTTACAATTTCATTTTACCTACTAAGTAGCCCACAAGGTAGACAGGTCTGGGAGGGATCATTCTTTCCTTTATACACATGAATACACAGGGAAATCTAAGCACAGAGAATGTGAAAGACTTGTCCAGAGTCACCCAAGGCTTGTCTCTGGTTCCCATCTGGAGCAATATGTACTCAAAAGATTAATTTTTTCCTACATTGAGAGTGTATAGAATGTTAGAATATAAGAACCAGAAAATTCAGGAAAGGCAAGTAGTCTAGCTACCTCGCTTGAAAAGAAAATAGGCTCAGAAATGATAGGTGATTTCATCAAAGTCAAGCTGTGAGTCTGTGGCCTTGTGATTAGATTTCCTGTACCCAAGAGCCAGTGTTCATGACCTCTCATATCTCATATGCTGGGCACAGTGTACCACCTAAGAGCTACAGACACAGCAGGCTACAGGTCCTGCCTGAGAGGGTTTTAGAATCTACTAAGTCTTTTTCGTCCACTTGAATTGTTTCAATGACACAGAGAAGGTAAAACTTGTTGTTCTTGGCTTTCTCATATCACCTTTCAGAGTCTAAACCCAGAAGAAAATAGCTTATTGTGGCTTCAGCATGGGTAATCTGTATTCTCCCTGCTTATAAAGTTAAACACTGCATGTAAACATACACAGATGGCTCTTCCATTGACTCTCCCCAAGATTTATTTTCAAACACAGATTACCGAGAAAACAGATAACTGTTTTCTTTTCCTCCTCTTTAAATGACTTTACCTTATTTACGATCTTTTATTTTTAGGACACACAGATAAAGCTATATGGGAAAAAGTGGGTGGGTATTTGCTTTTTGCTTTATAAAGTCATAGACCTACCCTCGCCGCTGTGGCTCAGTTGGTTGAGCATTGTTCCATGCACCAAAAGGTCACTCTTTCAATTCCTTGTCAGGGTACATGCTCTGGTTGCAGGTTCAATCCCCAGTTAGGGTGTGTATAGGAGACAATCGATATCTCTCTCTCTCTCTCTCTCTCTCTCTCTCTCTCTCACACACACACACACACACACACACACATCAATGCTTCTCTCAAATCAATAAAAACATATTTAAAGTCATAGACCTATCTTTGCTTCACGCCTTCCCAGTGTTATTCTTACAGATGGAACCACAGTGAGACTTAACCTGGGACATGCAGAGGACATTTGCCCTTATAGTATTTAGCTCTCACCCCTGGAGTTTCCTAATTAGAATGCATTGTGCCTCCCATGTTCTCACCTCCAGATTTAGTATTTCTTTTTAAAAATATATATATTTTATTTAATTTTTTACAGAGAGGAAGGGAGAGGGATAGAGAGATAGAAACATCGATGAGAGAGAAACATCGATCAGCTGCCTCCTATTCACCCCCTACTGGGGATGTGCCATAACCATTACCAGAATCGAACCTGGGAACTTTCATTCCGCTGGCTGACGCTCTATCCACTGAGCCAAACCAGTTTCAGCAAGATTTAGTATTTCTTTACTGGTGATAATTGGCCACTGTTTATAGCTTTTTTTCTCTTCCCTCTTTTAGAGCAGTTAGGTTAGTCAGTCACTTCATCCTACTTAGTTAAATGGACAGAAGCAGACCTGACGAAAGTTCTCTCCACCTCCCGAATCTCTCAGAGAACTCCCCACAGGGGCAGAAACTGGCATACATGTTTTACCTAGAAAAGGAGACCCCAGAGCTGCTAGAATGTTCTGTTAAGAATGTGCATGGGGGCATAGAAATGAGACTGCAGGCCAGAAAATAATTTTAATGCCAAGTAGAAAGGACCGATTCACTTTGTGTTATTTTTATTGCTTTTGCTCTACCAATTTCTCCTTCCTATGACTTTGAGAAGGTGGGAAGAGCTGTCCGTATTTCTGGAATGGCGGTCCACCTGGAAAGAGTCTCTCATATTGGTAGCTTGCTCCCAGATCTGGAGTAATGTTAGTATCTTTTAGAGCTGGGAGTAGATGTGAAACAATGAAATAATTTATATATGGCTTACTGCCTCTACTGATAATATCACCTTCCTTCTTTTTTAAAATATATTTTATTAATTTTATACAGAGAGGAAGGGAGAGGGGCAGAGAGCTAGAAACATCAATGAGAGAGAAACATCAATCAGCTGCCTCCTGCACATCCCCTACTGGGGATGTGCCCACAACCAAGGTACATGCCCTTGACCGGAATCGAACCTGGGACCTTTCAGTCTGCAGGCCGATGCTCTATCCACTGAGCCAATCCGGTTAGGGCATCACCTTCCTTCTTTCAGGCACAGGGCAGCTTCATCATCCTCGTACTCATAGGGACCCACCGTTGCTTTTAAAGAACCTGCAAAACAAATAGTTAATGAAGGAAGGCTGAACTTCTTGGAAGTAGTAATATAATAGGCAAGAGAAGAGAAGAGCTTGGGTGTTTAAAAGTATCTCCTTTCTGGTTAAAGTACAAGAGCCTTGAGGAAGCAGGAGGAGGGAGAAGGGAGGAGGGAACCAGAGAAAACATACTTTCTCTGCTGAGCGGCATCCTTTGCTGTTATTCATGTTTATATTCTTCATGGAGATGAGGGTGATGTTGTCTTTCTCTCCATTGGCTGTGGAGCAGCTAGGAGTAGGAAGGGAACATGGGTTATGGATAGGAGGAGTGGGAGGGCAATGTGGGGGGCACGCGTGTACAGGATTTGTTAAAACTTAGACCTTTGTTTTGGTGTTGGATCATAATGAAATGAGAGTGTGTTTTGAAGCTCAAAATACTTGTATTTAAATCTTTGTTTTACTACCTACTGCTTGTGTGATCTTGACTGAGTTATGACCTCTCAAGTCTCAATTTTTTAATGTATAAAATGCAATAATATCTGACTGGAAGAATTGCTCTAAGAACTTGAGCTAATATTTTTTTTTCATTTTTTATTAAGGTATTATATGTGTAAATATCTTACCATTGCCCAATTTGAGATAATATTAACAAATATCTACCAAAGGGCTTGGCACACAGAAGGTAGTCAATAAATGGTTCCTTAAATAAATATCTTCTTATTTAAGGGATATATTAGAATCTGAATTCCTACACTTTTCTTTTTTTAAAATATACTTTATTGATTTTTTTTTACAGAGAGGAATAGAGAGGGATAGAGTCAGAAACATTGATGAGAGAGAAGCATAGATCAGCTGCCTCCTGCACACCCCCTACTGGGGATGTGCATGCAACCAAGGTACATGCCCTTGACCAGAATTGAACCTGGGACCCTTCAGTCTCCAGGCCAACGCTCTATCCAATGAGCCAACTGGCTAGGGCTAAATTTCTACACTTTTCACGAAGGGGTAAAAGGGGCTCAGCCCTGGAGCTAAAGGGGTCCAGTCCATCTCCTGTCACCTGATTTCTTCCTTTCAAGTCTGCTCTTGTCCTGCTTGCCCCTAGCTCTGGTCTCAGTGGAGGCTGTCAGGATTCCGTGTGTGTGTGTGTGTGTGTGTGTGTGTGTGTGTGTGTGTGTGTGTAGAAAGCAGGAAGCTCTGGTTCCCTCTTGGAGGGAAGACTGAGAAGTCAGATAGATAATGCCTGCTTACACCTCTGACAGTCTTACCTTTCAGATAGCCCTGAACTCCCAGGTTTCTGGGGATCTGTAAAAATCCAAAGGCACAGATCAGGGGTCACATGTTGTTACTCAGAAGCCCAACCTGCCCCTCAAAGTTCACCCAAGTGGACCCTCCCATTTCATCTAATGGTGCTGATGTTCCCATTCCTTCCCTCAACTCTAGGCTGGGTGTCAGTCCCAGAATCTAGCTCTGGGTCCCTCGGCAAAGAGGGGCAAAGGAGGGCCCCCAAGGCTCAGGCGTGTACCTTCAGATTCCTTGTTCTTCTGACACTTAAACCTTAGACTGACCACACTGACCAGGATGATCACCACAACCACCAGGATGACAATGAAGCTGATGACACCTGAACAGGGAAAGGGTGGGGTGAAGAGGAGGGAGAAGAGGGGACAAGAGGGGATAGCACAAGTTCAGATTCTCTTCCTAGCTAAGTGCTCTGTAAGCAGGGTCCAGAGCAAAGTGAATTTTGAATTCCCCTTCTCTGCGAATTAATGAACTCTCAGCTTGCTGCCCTGGCCAGAGTGGGTTCCACAGCCCTTCTCCCATCTTCCCATAAGAACGGGAAACCTAGCAAAACCCAGAAGAGCTGACTAGAGTCAGTGGATGCTCTTTCCCACCAAAGCCTTCGTTGTCAGCCAAACCCTCTAGCACAAATGGGTGAAATTTGAACTTGTGTTTCCTGACCAGTGTCCAAATCAGTTCAAAGGTGGGGTCCCCTGCCACATCCCACCTTCTCCTTCCTCTCACCAAATGCAGCCACAGTGAGCACTTGCTCTGACATAGGGGTGGGCAGAATGGTGGGGTCTTCTCTTGTCTTCGGGCTCATGGTGGCCAATTTGGAAGTAACGTTTTGAGAGGTGTCTAAAACGAAATGGTGATGGGTGCTTCAGTAAAAGGACTTATTCAGCTTACTAGAGAAAACTAGTGTTTCCACACACACACACACCCATACACACACACACACATTTCCTCCAGGTAAAGGTCTGCAGGGAGAGCTCAAGCCCTACAGAAAAACTTCCTCCCTGCCCCTCTGACCAGGTCCCATGGGGATGAAGGTCAGAATTGGGTGCTGTTGGATCACATGACTAGATTGCTGGTTGCTTGTGTTACTAGTTATAAAGGACTTCAGAAAGTCCAGGATGCTTCCCTCATTATGCTCTTCCCACCATCCCCTTGGAGCCCAGCAGAAAGGGATTTATGCTGCAGACATAGGGAGACAGGCTGAGCAAGGCTGAGCCATCTGTGTTTTGCCAAGAGTTGGAGAGGGAAGAAAGAAGGGCACCGGATGTTTGTCTCCAGGCACTGATCTAACAGGCCAGCCTGCCAGTGAAAGGGCGTATGTTTCTGGCCCTCTTAAAAAGTGAGGTGGTCCTCCATCTCATCCCCTCTGAGACTCATTGTACTGTAGGCCTGATCGCTGTTCCATTTCTTTGTCCTCACCCCCCTCCTAAAAATGTCTGGGACTATAAAAAACACACACAATGCCGAAACCGGTTTGGCTCAGTGGATAGAGCATTGGTCTGCGGACTGAAAGGTCCCAAGTTCAATTCCGGTCAAGGGCATGTACATTGGTTGCGGGCACATCTCCGGTAGGAGGTGTGCAGGAGGCAGCTGGTCGATGATTCTTTCTCATCGATGTTTCTAGCTACCTATCCCTCTCCCTTCCTCTCTGTGAAAAATCAATAAAATATATTTAAAACACACACACACACACACACACACACACACACAAAACAAAACAAAACAAACAAACAAACAAACAAAAAATAACACACACACACACACACCCAGAGCCAAGGGGTAGGATGAGAGAAAGGATCAGGGTTTCTTTGTTGTGAGCACAGACAGGACATGCCTCTGCTTCTGCGCCAGCCACCGTTGCTACTGCTGCTGCTGCTTGGGACCCCTGTGCCTGTGCCAGGAACAGCAGGCCAAGGTGGGTAACCACCCTGCCCCGCTCTTCTCCCATGCTGCTTGAGAAGCAGGTAACTCTTTCCCAACCTTTTCTGCCTTCCTTTCCATTATTATATTTTGGGTTCTCCTAACCCTTCCTTTCCTTCTCTATGCCTTTTTCAATCCTGAATCAACTCTTTCTACCTTCACTGTGACCAGGTCCAAGTCCTTGTCTCTACTCCCCACCAACCCTCTCTCATTCTCTCCAGGGTGCCACTGATGTGGATCCTGAGACCCCTCACTGGGGGGGCAGGACCTGGGTCCCCTCCAGAGGAGAGGAAGGAACCCAGCTTGATACTTACCAGATCCTGATGTGTGCTCCTGTGGCTGGGGTGGGGAGTGACCATCCATGGTGCTTGACCTTGACATCACAGGTTTACTGGGGCCTGTGGGGACCTGTGAGGCCTTCTCTGGAGCAGCTGTGGATCAGGAAGCATTTGTGGGCTGCTATTGCTTCAGCCAGCATGTACCCAGGGAAGGCTCTTTAGTCCAAAATTGTTCTTTTTATTACTGCTTTCCCTTCCAGAAGGAGCCATCCTCCTTTTCACCTGTTTCCTCTGCCTGGAATACACCCTATCCCCCTTCATCCCACAATCTTCATTTAGTCAACCCCTTCTCCGGCCTTAGCTTTAGAAGCAATCTGGGATGTACCCCAGGTCGGAAGTGGCTGACATTTGTCTGGATTCCAATAGCACCTTCATCTTATGCCTACACTAGGGGTGTCGAACTCAATCAGAGAAGGGGCCAAAATCTAAAATCCAGCCTAAATCGCGGGCCGAATGGTTTACTGAACAGTCATAAACTGTCATTGTGATGGAAACGCAGCGGAGTGCAGTGATGACAGCGCGGTGCGGGCCACATTGCAAGGCCTAGCGGGACGGATTTGGCCCGCGGGCCTTGTGTTTGACACATGTGGCCTACACAATCCTTCTACCCTATCTGTAATTGTCAGGGTAAGATCTTGTTTACTCGTCTGTTTTTCCAGCGCATTCTCCTTAAGAACTGACACTGTGTCTGCTTCCTCTTTGGGCCCTCCCTTGATGAAATTTATAGTTTCAGTGGCAGAGTACCTGGGGTACTGGTACTGGTACTGGACAGAGGGCTTGGGCTGTTGGGCTCTGAGGAAGGGCTGTCCCTCCCAAGGACTGAGGCATAGGGGGAACTGGAGGTGGGGCAGGTTTGATGACACACACTTCCAATCCATATGAGAACTCCTGGGCTGCAAGCAAGTCTGAAGGGCTGGGCAAGGGGCTGGGCAGGGGGCAGGGATCAGCCCCTCAGCAACCACACTCACTCACCTGTGTTGGGAGAAGGTGGCAGTACAGTCAGATTTAGAATGATGGCTCCTGAAACAGATCATCCAAGGCTGACGGTCTATTGCCTGTTATTGCTCTGAGTCCCTCTCTTCTTCCCTATAGCTGGTGTTTTCTAGTCTTTCTTCTTACCCCATCCCTCACCTGCAACCATTCACCTCTCTCTTTCAAAACAAGTTAGACTGGGCCAAGCTGAAAAAAGTCCCTAGATGAGCTCAGCTTTGGATGTTCTGAGAGCACTGGCCCCACCCCTAATCAGCTAAGATCCGTGTAAAACATTGCCTAGAGCTCTCCTCGGCTTTATTAAGCTCCCAGACCTAAATGCTAGAGGAGTCCCTGTGTGTGTTTGCTCTTACCCTGTTGCCTAGAGTGCTGCATTGTCGTGGGCTGGGAGTTGTGGCCTGCAAGAGAAAGCAAAAGGCATAGACTAGCTTTGTGAGTCTCCCACCCAGCACAGAGCCCCCAGAAAAGCCAAGGCCTTTTGGCTTCCAAGCCTCCCATGCTGACAGACGCTAAAGGATGTGGCTCCAGCTTACGGGGCTGGCTTCCTCTGAGATCATGACTGAATAGCATCATCACCACCACCACCTCATGATTCAGTTCCCAGAGCCCTTTCCGGTCTCTTCAATTCCACATGGGTTTTATAGCAACCTGACACAATGTCAGGGGAAGGTTATTTTAAAATAGTGATATGTCCGAGGACAGAGGGCCAGATGCCTGCCAAGTCTAGACAAAGACTCCAGGTCTCCAAACGAATGCTGACATCAGACTACCACAGTGCCATCCATTCTACCCTGCAAACAGTGTCCGTCATACTAGTCCTGCGCAAGGGGAGGGGTGGAAAGATGTGATGAGTAAGATGGAGTTAGGGATTGGGGTTGGTATCTGGGCTATCTCTGTGCCCTCCTCCAGCCAGAGGTAGGGGCCAGGAGCAGGGAAGCTCTTAGATGAGTGGTTAACTTAACTCTCACAGATAGAGGCTTCTCAATAATGGTTGTTGTTGGCCAAACCCAGGGAGAAGGTTATTAGGACGCCCCAGTAAGAAGCTCTCTCTAGATTATTTCATGACTACATGTGTATGCCTGCCAACCTCTAGGCAGATGTGTGTGTGTGTGTGTGTGTGCCTGTGTGACATATATGTGTCCCCTGTGTCTGCGGGACCTCAAAGGTCAGGTTGTGTTTGCTCATTTTCCACAATGAAATCATTCTTGAAACCTGTGAACAATGTGAAAGGAAAACGTGGGGAAGTGGAGCCGCCCAGCTGGGTTCCCGTCCCTCCACTCAGGCTGGGACGGCAGCCGCTGGCCTGGCCCTCTGCTCCCTCAGCGCCCATAATCAGGGAAGTACCAAGCTGGGGCCCCGGTGAACCGAAGCAGCTGGAGGCCAGGGGCCCGCCCAACCAGCCGCAGCCCGTTGGTCTGTTTATTTTCCTTAGCCGCTGCCTTCCTCCACGGGGCTGTCACTTGGATGGTGTGGAATTGTTTCCAAGCCCACCCGTTCCCAAACCCGAGGCCGTGCCCAGGCTGTTTTTCCAGGTCACAATCTCTGACACTTCATCCCCGGATTGGGTCGGGGGTCGAGAGGGGAGTTAAAACTTGTAGGTGGCTGAAGCCGGTTTGGCTCAGTGGTAAAGCGTCCGTCTGTGGACTGAAAGGTCCCAGGTTCGATTCCAGTCAAGGGCATGTACATTGGTTGCGGGCACATCCCCGGTGGGGTGTGTGCAAGAGGTAGCTGGTCAATGTTTCTCTCTCATCAACGTTTCTTTCTTTCTTTTTTTTTTTTTTTTTTAATATATTTTATTGATTTTATACAGAGAGGAAGGGAGAGAGATAGAGAGTTAGAAACATCGATGAGAGAGAGTCATCGATCAGCTGCCTCTTGCACACCCCCTACTGGGATATGCCCGCAACCAAGGTACATGCCCTTGACCGGAATCGAACCCGGGTCCCTTCAGTCCCCAAGCCGACACTCTATCCATTGAGCCAAACCGGTTTCGGCTCTTATCGACATTTCTAGCTCTCTATCTCTCTCCCTTTCTCTCTGTTAAAAATCAATAAAATATATTTTAAAAAAAAAACAAACACACACACACACACACACACACACACAAAGAAAAACAAACAAACAAAAAAACTTGCAGGTGTCCCACGCTAGAGAGAACTTTTCCCAGCTGGGGAATTACCCTTTTAATCCAAAGCATGTTCTGAAAGCACCCATCAGAAGGTACCTTAGATACCATCTAAGCTCTATATGGTTATAACTTTAGTTTTCAGCCGGAGGGCACAATGCATGCCTTCCCACATTTATCTAAAAACAAAACTTATGTCTTGGAATGAGTTCCAAAATCACAAGCTCCAATTCTCGGCAGACTGCTCTTTGTCACCTGCTCTCCACCCCCTTTTACTGGAACTTTTTGTCATCGGGAGATTCCTCTGTGGGAAGAGAAGGGATTAAAGGAGCATCTGTTTTTACAGGCCAGGGTGCCTCTGACCACTGGACACGCAGACAACCAAAGGCCACTGGCCACTGGGATTTCTTATTTTCCGGTCTCCCCTCCCTCATTGCTACCTGCCCCTCTCTCCTCCTCCTCCACCACCACCATCCTGTTTTTCTCAGCAGCATAACTTAGTAGTTGAAATAATAGATTTTGGAATTTGACAGGCTTGAGAGTAAGTCCTGACTCTGTCACTTACTGGCTTGGGCTTTAGTCTTTCTCTTTGTTAAAGAGCAAGTGATTTTAGTACTTCCTAAGTGGTTGTGAAGATAAGAAGATGCATATAAAGTACTTAACATAGTGCCTGCCAGACAGAGACCATGCTCAATAAATGCTAAACATTTTTAATTTTGCCTCATTCTCTCAAATCCTCCAAGTCTCCAGTCTGTCTGCCCTGCCCTGATGTGTGTATTGAGAGTTCAGTCCCTTTGCCTATCCCCAGAAGGACCCCTCAGCCCTCCAAAATGAAGGAGACAGTGAGTGCTCTGAGGGGCTAGGAAACTCCAGCGGTGAGCATGGCTCACGGGGAGTTTACACAAGGCATTCCTAGCCCTGGCACTCGCCCAGGACAGGGCAATGGGTAGGGACGCTGAGAGAAGCCTGGGCCTATGAAAACGCCACCCCATGAGCTACACCTTTTCATCTTCTCTGCCATTTCTGCCGTTTGGACAACAGCCTGGTCCCCCAGGCCCAGATCAACTGCGTGACTCTATCCTTTGGGAAGTAAAAATCAGAGTTTTACTTCCAACCCATGGACTTGTAAAGAAGTGCCTGCCCTCTCCACGAGGCAGGCTCCTGGTACCCGGGCCTTCCACCCACCACCAGGAGAGGCATCCTCCCTCTCCCACCCAAGCACTCGTGCGTGGGTTCTCTTCGGCTGTTTGAGCCCAGGTTCGTGAATCTTCCGCCGGGGACTCATGGACGGTGAGGCGGGGGTGGGGAGGGAATGACCGAAGGGAAGTTGCTGCCGGGTGAGTCAGAATCTCCTGGATTTCTCATGGTTCCCAGCAACTGCTCCCTAGTGAGAGGACCCCCTGATGAGCTGTTTACCCACGCACAGCGAGCAAAGCCCCGTCTAAGAGAAGTTTTCAAGTTATCTCCTCTGAAGACCATCTCATCTAGACCCCTGGCTGAGGGTGTTGAGTACATCCTCTTTGGCGAACAGTTCTTTGTACCTAACTTGAATCCCTCATGCTGTGTGTGAACTTAGAGTCGGTATTTGTTACTCCCCCATACGGAAGAAAAAAAATTAAAAAAAAGAGAGAGATTGCTGTAAAGAGAGATCACAAGGCGCAGACAGTTTTGTGCTAGAACATTCCAGAAGGAGCTTTCAGACCTCAGTCTTACACCAAGACAGCCAGCCACATCCCACACTTTAGGAGGCCAGCCTTCATGGGAGCCCCGGTTCAGCCTGGAAATTTTCCCACAAAAGGGTTTAACCGTGTGCTATTTCACCCGGGCCCGGTAATGACCACCTCCCCATCCAACCGATCTCCTCCATGAAGGGCTCTGGAATTTCCCCTGGGCACAGCCCTGGATGGAGAGCCGTGTATGTGGTGTGTGACCCGAAGGAGGGGCAGGCGCTCAGGCCTGCCAGCCCCCCGAGGGGACCTGCTGACAGAGCGGCAGTGCCTCTTACCTTGGAGGAGGAGGAAGCTCAGGATCACCCGGCACAGCTGCGTGGTTCCAGCGGTCCCCATGTCAGCGGGGTCTGTGGTGGGCAGGCAGCTGCTCGGTGGAGGCTCTGTCCATAGTGGAGAAGAGAGAGGGAGTGCTGGGAGGGGGAGGGGCTGGGGGCTGGCTCTCCAGGAGCTTCCTGTCAAAGAATAGAAGGAAACAGATTGGGACTAACTCCAGGGCCCTGCTCAGCCCGACAGCCCAGACAAGGATGTGATGCTGAAACATCAACCACCGGATTGCGCCCTGGGTCCCAGGACTCTGCGTGGCCTGGGCTGGGGCCGCTGGGTTCCCCTCCAGGGCCTGTCCTCAGAGGCCAGTGATGGCAACCTGCCCCTCCCCGGCCCCTGCCCGCCTCTTCTCCTCCAAGGGGTCCCTCCACACACCACCCAGCGGTTTTCCTGGAATGTAACTCCAGCTCCTCCCCATGCTGTCTCTGACCGTGAGGAGCTCTGAAACTCAGCCCACCAGCCGCCCATGCTCTGTAGACTCTGAATGCTCCCTTTCTTCTCCCTCCTCAGGGCTACGGATGCAGACAGGACTCCCAATATCTTTCAGTATTGTTATTCTTAAAAGAAAAACAAGGGAACCACATTCCAAGCATCCCTCCCGCAGGCCCCTCCCCTCATCTTGGCGTCAGGCCTTCCCTGTGCTCCAGCAGCATCCTTGTCCTTAGCATCCAGCCAGTACACATCCCACCGCCCTCTCTTCTATGGACACATTGTCATTTTTCCCAGCATCCTTTGGACCTAGCACAATGCCTGACAGATAGTAGGCATAAATGTCTCAGCACCTATTTATTAAACTAAACTCTAAATATTTAGAGCAGAGAAATGTTACACATTTAATCTATATATACAATATAAAGAGCCAGGGTTCGTAACGTCCAAAATGACCAAAGGCTTGACCGAGGGGGCTGCAATCAGGCCCAGACAGAGGCTGGAGAGAAAAGCAGGGTCTGATCACAGACCCCGTGGCAATCTGTGCTGGGTCAGTGTGGCGGATGTCAGTCCTGCAGTCAGTGAAATAGGGTCAATTAATATTAAGTGAATATAGGGTCAATTAATATCTCTTTGAGAAGAGTTGGGAATATAAAGTACAATATAGAGCAATTACTTATATTGTTTCACATAAAACTCTTTTCAACTAAGATATTTTCCTTTATCTAAAATATATCTAGCCGAGACTGGTTTGGCTCAGTGGATAGAGCATCGTCTTGGGGACTGAAGGGTCCCGGGTTCAATTCCGGTCAAGGGCATGTGCCTTGGTTGCGGGCATATCCCCAATAGGGGGTGTGCAGGAGGCAGCTGATCGATGACCCTCTCTCATCGATGTTTCTAACTATCTCTCTCTCCCTCCCTCTCTGTACAAAATCAATAAAAATATATTAAAAATAAAATATATCTATATTGTTGAAAGTATTACAGATGTCCTTTTGTTGCAGGGTTTTTTTCCTCCCTATTGATCTCCTCCACCCTGTACCCACCCCTTCCAGGCCTTTGTCCATGGGCTATTCCTATCTAATACATAAAAATCTAGAAATGTTTAGAGAAAATAAAAGAAAAGATATGCCAGATAAATATTGAACCAGAAGAGCTGAAGTTGCTGCATGAATACTGACTGGATATAGGCTTGCAGCCAAAACACAGCTCATGAGATAAAGTTAGTCATTGTAACATAACAAAAGGTTCCTTTCATTAAAGAGATAAGATGGTTCCCAATACTTATACACATAAAAGAACAGTGTGGGGGTTCAGAATGAGCCTCACCAACATGTGTCTCAGTGGTATGAGATTTTTGAACTAAGGGCAATTTTAGCTTCAGACTCAAGTGAAAATTCTGCCCCTCCCTTTAACTACATAAAAAAAAATAAAAATAAATAAATTGAATTAGAGGCCTTGCCCATAATAAGACATTATCCTATATAATAGAAAGCTAATATGCAAATCAGCCGAACAGCAGAACAACTGGTCGCTATGACACATACTGACCACCAGGGGGCTGATGCTGAATGCAGGAGCTGTTCCCTGGTGGTCATTGTGCTCCCTCAGGGGAAGTGCCACTCAGCCAGAAGCCAGGCTCATGGCTGGCTAACGCAGCAGTGGTGCCTCCGCAGTAGCATTAAGGATGTCTGACTGATGGCGTGCTCCCCATATCCTCTGAGGGCTCCCAGACTGTGAGAGGCTGCAATTCGGGCTGAGGAACCCCCCACTCGAGTGCACGAATTTTGTGCACTGGGCCTCTAATATAATTATACACTGAGTGGCCTGATTATTATGACCACCCCATCAGTACTTCGTTGGGCCACCTTTTGCCTTCAATACTGCAGCGATTCTTCTTGGCATTGACTCCACGAGATGCTGAAAGGTGATGTGAGGAATCTGACACCATGCCTGATGAATAGCACTGTCCAGTTCTGTGAGATTTGATGGTTGTGGAACCAGTTGCCTGATGGCTCTTTTAACTTTGTCCCCAAATGCTCAATTAGATTGAGATCTGGTCATTGTGGGGGCCACCTAAGCAAGGTAAAGTCTCCCTCATGTTCTTGAAACCACTCCTGCACAATATGAGCACTGTGGCATGTCACATTGTCTTGTTGGAAGAAGCCATCTCCATTGGGATACACCATCAACATGATAGGATGAACTTGATCAGCAACAATACTTAGGAATGTTGTGCTATTTAGTTGTTGTTCCACATGAATTAAAGGCCCAAATCATGTCAGAAAAACATGCCCCAAATGATAATACTGCCTCCACCAGCTTGAAGGGTTGTATTCATGCCTGTGGGGTGCATGCTTTCATGCTGTTTCCACGAAATTCTCACTCTGCTATCTGCATGATGCAACTGGAAACATGACACATCGGACCACATGACTTTTTTCCAATGCTCCACTGTCCAATCCTTGTGTTCCTGTGCGAATTGGAGATGTTTTATCTTGGTGGTGCCTCGCATAAAGAACGCCTTGCACAGCGAACGCTGCACACAACGAACTTCATTTCATGATTCATACAACGAACTTCGTTTCACACAACGAAGTCGCCCGAGCTTCCACGACTGCTTCGCCCGAGCTTCCACGATCGCTGCCGATGTATTGCATCCTTCCGCGCAGGCACTGCAGGCAGTCGTTAGTCACTGCGCTTAACTTAAGCACGTATCTCGGCAATCGTTCTTCATTACGAATTAAATCACGCACGTATCACGGCAGTCGTCCTTTTAAGTTAAACTCAATATTTTTTTAATATCATGGCTTCTAAAAAAAAGCAGGAAGGTGATTTCTGTTGAAATGAAACAGGACAATGCTCAAAGGGAAGCGTCATCTGATAACGAGGAGCAACAATCAAACAATCAACCAATCCCAACTGCTGACATCAAGAACATCCTGGTCAAATGGAAAGCAGTTCAGGAGTTTACCAATGCCCACTATCCGGATTCAGCTGAAGCAAACAGGATCAACGATCTTTACTCCGATACTCTTGTCCGTTATTTCCGGCAGATGTTGGAGAAAAGAGAAAAACAAACGACTTTGGACAGGTTTTTCATGAAACCATCGGCCAAAAAGCAGAAAATGGATGAAGATGTGCAAGATTCGGTAGACTCTACTTAGTCTGTCTTAAAATTAAAAAAATGTGTGTTTTTAAAAAAAAAATGTTTTTAGATGTATCTAAATAAAAATAATAACAAAAAATTTATCTTTTTTTATGTCATCTTAGCATATTTTATGCTACAGAACGAATTATTTTTTTTAACATGTATTGTTATGGGAAAACGCGTTTCACATAACGAACTTTCCGCATAACAAACTTGCACCTGGAACGAATTAAGTTCGTTGTGTGAGGCACCACTGTACTTTGGTTAACCCTCACCTGAGGATGTTTTTCCTTTTTTTTTTTTTTTTTTTGAGAGAGAGGGAGAGAGAGAGAGAGAGAGAGAGAGAAAGAGAGGGAGGAGAAGAGAGGGGAGAAAGAGAGAGAAATATCAATGTGAGAGAGACGCATGCATCCTGATCAGGCTGGGGTTTGAAACTGCAATCTAGGCACATGCCCTTGACTGAGATTAGGACCGAAGACCCTTCAGTGCATGAGTCGAAGCTCTAACCACTGAATAACACCATGCCAGGACATAATCGTTTTATGAATCTGTCCTTTTGTCCCTTATTTTTTTATTTTTTAATAAATATTTTATGTTGAAACAATCACAAATGTATAGAAAGCACATTACACAGAACTTTTTTCCTTAAATCACTTGAGAGTAAATTGCCAACAAAATGACTCATCACCCCTGAAGTGTTTGTAGTGTGTATTTCCTACAAACAAGGTCAGTCTCTTATATATTCACAATACAGCCATCAGAATTAGGAAATTAATATTAATATATTAATACCACCTAGTTCTCAGATTCCATTCAATTTTGACAGTTGTCTCAAGAATGGCCTTCATTTTTATTAGTTTTTAATCCTCACCTGAGGATGTGTTTTTATTGATTTTACAGAGAAAGAAAGGAAGCGGGTGAGAGAGAAAGAGAAAGATAGATGTAAGGAACATGTCGATTGGGATCGGTTGCCACCCATATACACTCCAACCAGGAATCAAACTCAAGATCTTTTTGTGTACAGAGCAATCCTCCAACCAACTGAGCTATACCAGCCAGGGCCCAAGAATGTGCTTTATAACAAAAGGGTCCAGCCTGGAATTACTCATTGCATATCTCTTTTGTCTCCTTCGATCTGGAACATTTATTCAGTCTTTTCTTGACTTTCATGACATTGAAATTTTTAAAGGTTACAATCCAGTAATTTTGTAGAGTCTCCCTCATGTGGTTTGTCAGACATTTTCTTATTATTATCCTACAGGCCAGGTGCATGAAATTCATGCACTGGGTGGGGTGGTTGTCCCTCAGCTCAGCCTGCACCCTCTCCAATCTGGGACCCCTCAGGGGATGTCCGACTGTTGGCTTAGGCCTGATCCTATGGGACATCTCTCTCACAATCCAGGACTGCTGGCTCCTAACCACTGGCCTGCCTGCCTGCCTGATTGCCCCTAACTGCTTCTGCCTGCCAACATGAGCACCCCCTAACTGCTCCCTGCTGGCCTGATTGACACCTAACTGCTCCCTTCCAGCCTGATCACCCCTAACTGCCCTCCCCTGCTGGCCTGATCGCCCACACTTTTTTTTTTAAAGGCCCCAAAGACCTACCTGCTGGCCATCTTGTGATAACATGGGGG